GCTCCGGCGATCCTTCCGCCTCAGCCTTCCAAGTAGCCTGAATTACAGGCGCGCGCTACCACGCCCGGTTGATTTTTTGATTTATTGTAGAGATGAGGTCTCGCTGCCCAGGCGGGTCTTGAACCCGCGGGCTCAGGCAATCCACTCACCTCAGCCTCCCAAAGGCGTGGGATTATAGGCTGAGCCACCGAGCCCGGCTTCATCTCTACAATTAAAAAAAAAAAAATTAGCCAGGTGTGGTAGCATGCACCTGTAGATCCGGCTACTTGGAAGGCTGAGGCAGAAGAATTCCCGGAGCCCAGCGGGTCGACACTGGGATGGCCATGAGCATGCCACTGCACTCCAGCCTGGGCGACCGAGTGAGACTCCAACTCAAAAAAAAAAAAAAGTTAGGATGGTGGGTACTCTTGGTTTCTGGGGTGCTGGTCATATTCTGTTTCTTGATCTGGGGTTCCTAGGTATGTTTAGTTTGTAAAAATTGAGCTGTACCCTTAATGTGTACTTTATTCTTCTTTTATTTCTATACCAGTAGACCACCAAACTGGCCTGTAAATAAAGTCTTGAACAACACTAGAAATTTCTTCAGACACAGTATATAATTGATTAAGTAGATTTTAACTTTTGGACTGTATGGCCTGATCTGAGACATTTCTCAAATGTCTGTAAGACGTTTGTATATCTAGAGATTTTCATATATGTTCATGGGGTTAAAACATAATTTTATGGTCAAATAGATATGAGAAACAGAGATATCCTTGTCTTAAAGATTTACAGGGCACAGTGAGTAGACATAGGTAATAACAGCTAGTAATTATTTGCCTTGTGCCAGAGGTATATTTTCACATTTAATCCACTTAACAACCCAGTGAGGTGGATGTCATTGCTCTTACACAGGTGAAAAAACTGAAATTTAGACAGGTGAAATAACAGCCTAAGTATACAAAGCTTTACATCTGGCAGACTGCCTTTAACCACTGTGCTAGAGTAACTGACACTATGGCATACTGTGTCAATTATTTTCCTGTCATGATTAGCATTCTTTAAGTCACTCCTGCCCTGTTCTAATAATGTAACTCTTTATTGATGAAAGACTACCAAATTCTTACATAACCCCACTCCCTGGACAGTTGATTGGGCCAGGAGTAGGCACCTGACTTAAACCAGTCATAATGCCAGTCAGTTCATTATTTTACAGAATTTGCAAAGTTGGAAGTAGGAGAAGAGAATATGTCTCAGGTTGACATCTTCAAGCAAAGCTATTCCTGGCAGCCAGTTCTTCACCATGGAGATAAACTGGTTTGCAAAGCAAGAGAAAGAAGCCATAGCTAGAGCTAAGAGTGACATTAGGCAGGGTCCAGTTTGTCTTCTGGATTCTTTTTCCTGTTGTTCCTGAAGTCTTGTGGAAGCTCAGCCTTCCTTCAACTAGGGGAGGTAAACTGGCATTCTTTTAATAAGTGCTCCTTTTTTGTCTTAAAGATGAATAGGTCTACCTTTAATTTTTTTTTTTAACCATGAAAGAAGTTTAATACAGTGCATGAGGTTACTTAAGGGTTTCTCAGCATCAGCACTGTTGCCATTTTGGCTGGGTAACTCTTTGTGGTAGGGGCTGTTCTGTATATTGTAGGGTGTTTAACAGCATTCCTGGCCTCTACATATTAGATGTCAGTAGCATCCTCCCTCTTCCCAGCACTTGTCACAGTCAAAATGGCTTCAGACTTTGCCCAAAGGGTCAAATTGCTCCGTTGAAACCACTGGTTTAGCTCATTTCTTGAGTTCTAAAGTGAATGAACCTATTCAACTTGATTTAACTCATTAATTTCCCAAACATATTTGACTGTCCAAACCTTCTCCTACCTCTTTTCATGGAATTATGAATATTCCATGGAACACAGGTTTGTGGAAAATTTGATTTATGTATAACTTGATACCTTCAAGAAGATATTTGTAAATATCTCTTAAGGTTGATTACTTCTGCTGACTCTTGGTCCCATCTTAGGTCTCAGTATAGGAAAAATAGGTCCCAGCGTATGATGCCCAGATCAATAATAACTAAATTATGAGAAAATAGAAAAGTGACCATTCATATGTTCATCCAACAAATACATATTGCACATTGATGCCAAATATTGTGTCAAATGCTGAAGCTACACAGATGAATAAAACCTACTTTGTTCCTCAAGGAGCTTATTGTCTCCTGGGGACTGGGAGATAATAGCATAAATGTTATTAGAACACAATGTGGTATTATGATGACCTGCATGAACTATAAATATATCTAAGATTCTATAAAACTAGAAGATAACTATAATTTAGAAAGTAAGTTGCTTTTAAAATACATTCCTAGACAGTCAGAGCAAATAGTATACTCTTTTCTGATGCTAGAACACAATGTTAATTATTAAAGTAAAGCACTATACAACAAGTTTCTAAGTAATTTATTTTTGAAGGCTAGTGAGTAATCAGTCAATATTTGTCACCATATTTCTGTGTAAGTATATTATCTAGAAATAAAATTAAAATTATTTTAATAACTCCCCAAGTGAACTGACAAGAAAATATTCAACTAAGTTTTAATAAATTATTAATCAAGTTTCTTTTTATGAAATTGTTAATATATGTGACAGAAAAGGGGACATCAAAACCTAACTAGTAGCATGGTCAAAGAGGGAAATTTCCATGCCACAGAATGCATCTTGTTTGTAATAAGTTGTTTATAATCAAATAAAAGATTTATTTCCTATTTTTAAAAAGGAATTTCAGCAAAATATTATTCTATGAAAATAATCAGTGGTGTATTGTCTTATTTACATATTTAACTTTCTTCTGTTTGTAATGTCTATTGTAAGGTTCATTTAAAAGTTGAATCTTATGCCCTTTTAAAAATTATTATTTCAGGCCGGGCTCTGTGGCTCAGCCTGTAATCCCAGCACTTTGGGAGGCTGAGGTGAGTGGATTGCCTGAGCCCGCGGGTTCGAGACCCACATGGGCAACTTGGTGAGACCTCGTCTCTACAATAAAAAACTAGCTGGGCGTGGTAGCACGTGCCTGTAGTTCCAG